GTTATACCACAATCTCTTTTTACTCCACTAATTGTTGAACTGGACATCATTTCCCTAGAATCTGTTTTTTAAAATCCTTTAAAGAAGTTAACTCATGTTAAGAAGCTGGATTGTGTGAATACTTTTTTGTTGGAGCCAGTCCAGGAGATAAAAAGGGCTAGGAAGAAAGGAATTAGACTCAAACTTTTAGAACAAATCAGTGATACATATGCTTCTCTGCTTCTACCTCCAAACAGGCTTGTGGCACTTTTTTTCAGTCTCCTCACAGCTCTCATAATATATATGCCTGCAAGGTAGCTCTTCAAAGGAAGAGGCAGCACAGAGGTCACTTGTCAATCTGGAGATTCCTATGGCAATACACACACAATAGACATATAACACTCTTAGCCTACAAAGCTGTTTTAATTAACTGATACTTTTCATTCTCTCTTCTTTTACAAAGCAGTACAAGTATCTGATGACATTTTCATTACTATCTTTATATTTCTTATTACTTTATTTCTTATAACTTGTATTTACTCCTTCAGCTATGGTTGTAAAGTTCTTTTCAGCTCCTTTTTAATTGCAAATTCATCCCTTCATTCTTTTCTGTTCTAGTCCCTTTATTTATCCACCCTTGCTTCTCCCAGCACAGTACTATCTTAGAACAAGAACAAAAATTAGTTGGATTTTTCCATTTATACCTCACCTTAAGGATTCAAATGGTCTCTTATAATTTTATATTTAATATCTTTGCTAAATGATGGCACAATTTCTTACATCACATATAATATTTTAGAATAAATGAATAAGCTATGGCTGTCATCCATTCTTCATGATAGCCTAAAAAGTGGTCTCTCAACTTTACTACCTATATAAAGCTATCAGTGAAAAATACCTGCTCCAGTATATATTTATTTACTTACAATATACACTATTACAATAATATGTATTGTAATCAGAAATTTTAAAAGAGAGAGACTTATATATATAAAGTTTATGTATACTTATTTACTTTAGAAGTTCTGGTATTTTCTTGTTACATTCTCTGGGAGTGTACATAATCTCTTTGCTGACCACTGGTCTGAAAGGCTGAAAGAAGCCCACAGAAAATATCTATTCTAAACTTCCATCACATAATTTAACCAACAATAAACACTTTTTTCCCCTATTAAAGTCTGCCTTTCAATTTCTTGAAGCTCTTGTTAACAAGTTAATTCTTAAAGCTATCTTTCACTAATTCATGAACTAGAAGGTCAACAAAATAACTGCATGAAGCAACTACATTATTAAAAAAAAACAAACAGTGGTAAGATCTGAGCCTATTTGTGTGCATATTTTGTACGTTGTTTGCATGTCTTTCTCTAATAGAAAGGAAGAACATTTTCTAACAGAATAAAAGATGTAGAGAGAAAAATACTATATATTTCATTCTGCTTCTATTAAACAATTTCAGAAAACAGTTATTAAGCACTTTTCTCAAGTAGAGACACTGTACTATGCACTGGTCTTTACAAAATCTGACAGCTAGAAAGGAATGAAGGCCAAACATCTAAGCACTGCTTGAATTTGCTCTACAATACCACCATCAAGTGGTGGTTTTATGTAACTTGTGTTCAAAGCCCTTCAGCAATAGGAAGGCAGATCACTACATTTCTGGTTATTTGAAATACACCCACTAAAATGTGTCTGATGATAACTTTATCTACTGGCCCTATCTTTATTCTTGGAGGCAACCGAGAACAAGCCTAATCCATCTTCCACTTAACAGCTCTTCAAATATTTTAAAGCAACTACTATAAACTCCTCTTCAACCTAAATACATAAATAAAACAACTCTTCTGTTCAACCTACACATCCACATTTAACTTATCCACAGGTATAAATTTAAAAAGTTAAAAAAATTTCTCACAAACTACCAAGAAGGAATGTGAACACAAGAGCTTAGTTCTTGAAGTTACAAAGGAGAATAATTTGCAAAATTGTACATATCCCAGTTGTAAAATTTTAAAGCAACAATTTAAATATAGACCATTATTTTACTACTGAGTATCGTAAGGCAAATTTATTTATTTATATATAAATACATAGAATTCACTTGTATTATAAAAAATTTGCTTGATATTTTAAAAATATTATCTATAAATACCTCTGACAAATAGTTTCCATTTTTTTTAACTATAGCACAAATAACCAATTTAGAAAAGAAAAGTTATATAACTAATTATTATTTCAAAAGCTGACCTGCATCTTTTCAATAATATAAACCCTGAAATCCTCCAGGAATTGAATATAAGATCTCAGGCTTGCACGCATATATGTGCACATATGTGCAGTCACAGCGGTGCTAAAGATAAAGAACAAAACCAGAAATGACATTTTTTATACAACTGACCTCCTGCTAAAAATGAGTGACTTAAGAAACTAATCCTAACAGAAGAGTTTCTATTGTACAATATCTATCAACCAGTAGATTATATTTACATTTAAATAATGTTTATACAGTGAAGGTATATCTTCAGGTATTAGTCCATTATTACAGTGTGGTAGAAGTTTGTGTACAATCAGATACTGATCTTCAGCACAGACAGTTTCATAAATCATATTTTCTATCAACAAGATGAATGAAACCAGTACTAGACAAAGAAATGCCAATTTCAATTAACTATTTTACAGTTAATATTTCTCAGTATTTGAGTGCTTTAGAAGTTGAGAAGCTGAAAAAAACTGAAAACGTAATTTAAAAACTTGTCAGTACCATACAACATTAATAATAGGTCACATAGTAAGATTTATTATATTCTGAAAGAGCAAAGAGAAAATTTGATGCTGTTTTATATTTTGGTCCACTGAACAAAGGGTTACTTTAGTACTAAATAAGCTTTAATGAATTTTCTTAAATGGTCAAGCCACTAAATAAAATGACAATACATTCACAAGGAGTTTTATATTTTGTTTTTATTGAACTCACTGTGAGCAAGAACAGCTAGCTTTGCAAGAAAAGTTAGAGATAACATTAAATCGATTTTGAAAGTTGTGCATATTAAAAATGGACATTAGTTCATTTAGAAAAAAGGCAATAATTTTTAGTAAGCCTACCAGGATTTCTATTTCCTGGTATATCACTCAGCTTGGGAAACTCCAGCCAAGTTCCATCCTATCCAGTTCAGATTTTAGGTATATACTAATATTTATCTGGAAGATGTTCTATATAAGTGAATCTTCTAGAGAACTTATGTTTATTCCATTATGCAATAAAACATTTTGTACTTTATTTATATAGATGTTTTTCTAAAAAACTTTATTTCCCTTTCTTAAAAAAAGTTGCAGTTGATTTAGGTTAGCCATTTCCCACAGATTTAGTCACATGAACTGTACTGCACAATATATTGCTGTGCTTTGATCTTACTATGTTTCTCACCTCTGCTTGCTGTCACTTGTTGATGACAGTGTGCTCCTGATGTTTCTGATGCCTAGGTAAGAACCTCAGAGTGGTCTCTATAGGCTTCAAAGTAAGACGTGGCTTACTGATTGATATCTGGCTACCCTTAGTTCTTCTTCTCTGTTTGCCTCCATGACTGACTTCCAAATGGCTGAAGTTACCACAGAAAATCACAGCAAAACAGGCTGCTGACACTGGAAGAAGGGGGTCGTAAAGAGCTCCAGGGAGCAGAAAAACATATTCCCTTACAGGGGAGCATGGGCTATTTGCACAAGGTCTCCATTCCTTTTCCCTAGGAACTCGAAACAACTAGCCCATTCTAGCATGTTCTATCCTTTATTTGTGATTCTTCTCTTCAAAAATGACCTAATAGCATACCCTTCACATTTTCTGCAGAGTAGAAACAAAGACAGAAACAATAGCAGTGTCAACAAATTATACATGGGGCGCAAGACATATGATTATGACTATATTATATGGACTATGTGCACTTAACATGTATTTATACATGACAAATACATGTAAATAAAACTATGAATCTGAGTTTATGTCTGGGGTGGGTGCTGAGAAGTAGTGAGAAAAGAAAGACATAATTTGATCTGGCTATTTGAAGACTAGTAACAAATTAGGACTTCTGAAAAGCACTGGAATTTTCAAAGACATCAGAAATATTTACCAATTACAGAGTACTTAAATTAGAATAACAGAAAATCTAGATTTTGTTCTTTTTTATACATGAACTGAATGAATCACAAAATTATCAAACTTTTTTTCACTTTGTTAATTAATAACACACTAGTTAACACAGATCACAGGTCAAAAAAGAAATGCTGCCTTATGCCCTTCTTCTTTCTAACAAATAAATTAATATAACTCAAGTTTTAGAGAAACTATTCTAAGCCATCAAAGATTAGTTGCTTAAATAACAAATAACCCTCTTGTGGCTGCAACAGTCTTACTGCCCTGAAGTAATTTTATCAGGGAAAAAGGAAAAATGTGAAGTGTTTTTTGAGTAACTAACCAAAATTATTTTACTTTCAATTTTCCCTACTAGGATAAGAAAAAACAAGGAAAAAAGACATCTAAGAGATAAGCCCTATTGATCTAGTTGGCCTGAATATATTTCAAATTACCAATTTATTTCCACTGACTAGTAATGTAAAAAACTACTAATTTACAGAAAACAATATAGAAGAAAGTAAATAAGGACAAAGAAAAGAGAAAAAAAGTTATCCTATGAAACTTATTTTTTTCCACATACAATTCAAAGCTACCCAGTTAACATGTCTCCAACATCTTGCAGCTGAGGGTATGTAACAGAGATACTGAATTAAAATGACTCAAGGTGACATCTTTCTGTTAGAATCTATAATTATACATCACTAAGGCAGAAATACACCAATGGATAAGGGACTCATGAAATAAAGGATGTATTCTATACTCTTTTGATCTTGGACCATATAAATTACTCTGTTCCCCTACCTCTAAAATTGCGACAAGCTGGAACACTGTGAAAATTTATTACTGGTAAAATCCTTATAATTTAATGTTATGTAAACGTTGAGTATTTGATTCATACCTTGTTTTAATTCCAAACCTTCAGGTTGCTTGTTCTCTCGCAAGGATGAAGCAGAATCTGTACAGATGTCTTGTCTATGAAATGAAAAATAAATAAAAACAATTTTTAAAACTATATTCAATCAAATAATGTTTACTGTTCAGGTTCCTAAAATAAAGTTAGACACTTAGGAAGACACACTGTAATTCTTCTTAAGTTCCCAGGGTACACTCTAGAAACTCAGAAACATATGCACAACTGTCAGGAACAGCAGCTATAAACTACTACCAATTTAAGTAGTATATGTCTTTTGCAAAATCAAGAGGCAAACCTGGACATAATACAGAGGGATTTTTTTTCTCCCTTCTAATATTCTGCACGGTAAGTGATGGAAGAAATCAATTCACAGAGGAATCCTGTAATTTTTAAAGTCCAACCGTCAAATTTAATGGGCACTTTGGAATTCAAATTATGTTCTACTAATCTAATTTCATACCTCAAATGCTTTGATGTCTACTGTATGTAGGAAACACATATCTTATGTGTAATATACATATATAATCAAAGTAAATGGATTGCATGCAATATCATGCCATGAAAAAGTTTTGACTCACCATGTTCTGCAACAGAGCTGCAAACTAATGTTCTTTTTTAAAGGCTATTATACCATCTTAATATTGATATTACATATACTTTTCACAAAAGTCAAATTAATTGCAAATGCTCAAAAAGACTATTTTCTTTCAAAGTAAGTATTTATTGCCTTATGAAAATAACATACTAGAAGTATTTGGGAAAATTTCCTACTCACAAAATTATTTCTATCCACTCAATAATAAAACCCTCAAAAAATCAAAGGATAAAGACTTGTGATCATTTTTTTGGGAGAAGTTTATAATACTCTTTCCAGTCAACATATTTGGCACTTATATGTTTGTTTTTTGTGAAAAAATTTACCAATACAAGCTATAACCCCCAATAGAAATTATAAAATTATTTGATTGGGTATTAATTATGACATCTAAGAAATTTCTAACTGAGATATTTCCATTTTTTATATTTCTTTCTGTCTAATGTCACCACTCAGATTTTATACTTTTATTAGAATGACTAGCAAATCCCAAGGAAGATAGCAACAATACTTCTAGTAGGCAATCCAGGGACAGATAAACTGCCAATATACTACATTAAGGACTTTTTAAGGAATAAAGTTACATATGCTATCTCAAGCTTCACAGTCAAAAATTTTTTTACAGTCTTTACAGTCAGATTTTACCTACTTGGAGCATTAATCTATTTCTAAGTACCTTCCTTTAGAGAAAATGTTTGTTTGCTCTTACACATCCTTGAATGGGCACTTAATTGTTCTATTAAACACATAAATCTAAATGTACAAAATATGATTTGAACAAAAACACGATGAAACATCACCATTAAAAGGACCATGGGCGCATGTCATATCCTAAGAAGGAACCATCACCACCCATGCAGTATTATAGTTGAGAATGTATAACCTATATTATGAGGAATCATCAGACAACTCCAAAATGGAAATGTGTAATATTCTATTAAGAAGGAGCAAGGAAGTTAAATGTTAATGTTAAAAAGAAAAAGGCTGTAGGAATATTTCAGGTTAAAGGGGACTAAAGAGTCGTGACAATTAAATGTTGTGAGTGATTTAAGACTGCTGAACTATAGGGGGAAAAACAGAGGACATTACTGAGTTAAATGACAAATTGAAATACTGATGGCAGATTGGATAAAAGTGTATCAATGTTAAATTTGCTAAAGTTGAATTTGCTGAAATTGATACTGTTTTGTGGTTATATAAAATGGAGTACCACTATCCTTAAGAAAAGCTCAGTGTAGTATTTAGGGATAAAATGTCATGATGTATTTAATACAGCTGAAATACTTTAGAAAAAAATATATGTACATGTATACAAAGAGGAAGTGTGCAAATGGGATAAATTCTTAATAATAGGTAAATCTAGGTAAAGGGCATATGGTGATTGCTTGTACTATTCTTATTCTTGCAGCATTTTAATAAGAGTGAAATTATTTCCAAATAAAAAATATTAATAATAATGCAGTGAAATGCATTATTTTATTTTCTCTATGAAAAACCATTAGACCCCCTTCAAATAAAACTAGACCCCCTCTATAAAGACTACCTGCTGTCATGAACAGTGTCCAAAGTAAAATTTTGTAACATTCTGTTTTATCTTGAATTAGGTTTAGCCAGGCTGTTGAAGAAAATCACCAAACAGAATTTCAGACAGTGGATGCAGTATACCACCTTGTGGCTGAAAAGAGAAAAGCTAGATGCTTTTACATGAGTATTTTCTGAAATAGGAAAAAATTCCATAAAATAGTTTGGAATATCAAGATCTATATACTAGCTAATTCTTCCCTGATAATAGAATTTGCAACTAAAATTAACATCTTCATTCAGAGTTCTATAACACAACTCAAAGTTATCTTCATCAAAGAGCACAAAAGGCAAGTAATAGACAAAAAAGGCAACGTCTTAAGGTATACTGTGTACATAGAGGTATCTTTTTATTTCCCGTTTTATGGCAATAAAAAACATCTACCCTCAGATAATAAGACATACTAAGTATCAGAGTTAGGAACACAAAAGAAATTCCAATTTATATTTAAATGACATTTAGATATTTCTGTCAAACACTTGAGAACTATGTAAGAATTTTGTAATGAAAGAGAAAAGTAAGGAAGGGAGGGAATATACTGCTAAACTGTCTTGCTTTAAGAATCTCTGCAATGGTTTTTGTGGTCCTCTCCATTTAAGAAAAAAATAACTTTTTATTTCTCTAATTTCCTTGTCCCATCTGCAATGCTCCTTCTTAAGCAACTTAATTTACAATCTTGGTCTTGAATTTTAAGGGAAACCTATACCTATCCCTGGGATTTAAGTCTTCAATATTAGTCCAACTTCCTTTCTCCTACCCCAAGTACAGTGCTACTCTCTTTTTACTTAAACTTATTGAATTTGTTTTTTAAATCAGAATACTACAATAGGGAGATCTGTGGAACTCAATCAAGATAATCACACACATGAATTACTAATGATTTAAAATACATTTCTAGTCAGGAAAAAAAAAAGCCAATTTCTTGTCCAAATGAAAAATACTGGGAAGTTCCCTCCACAGAAGGACAAAGAAATAGGACCAAAATAAAGAAGATTTGATACATCTATTATTCAGTCATAAAAAGACAAGAAAATCCTGTCATTTGCAGTAACATAGATATATCTAGAGGGTATTAAGCTCAGTGAAATAAGCCAGGTGGAGAAAGACAAATACTATATGATTTCACTAATATGTGGAGTATAAAAAAAAAGCAAAACAGGAGTAACAAAATAGCAGTAAACTCATAGACACTGAGAAGTGACTAGAAGTTACCAAAGGGGAGGGCCTGGGGTGGGTTGGAGGGAGATGGAGGGGGATAAAGGGGTACAATAATTTGCAACCACAATATAAGTTCGTCACAGGGATGGAAGTTATAGCATGGAGAAAACAGTCAATGATTCTGTAACATCTTTCTACATTGATAGACAGTAACCGCACTAGAGGGAGTGAGGATTTAATAATATAGGTATCTGTGAACCATTGTGTTGTATATTTTAAACCAACATAAGATTGTATATCAATGATACTTTAATGGAAAAACAAACAAACAAACAAAAACAAAAACAATAAAAAAGACTCCAAAATCCAGGAGGAAAGGGAGTTTTCTGAAGTATTCTGACTCTCCCTGGCTCTGTACCCTTCAGGCATCTGTGATCTCTACCAGTCACAGCATCTTACGGTGAGGCCATGAGACTTAAGAAAAAAAGACTGCATATCAACAATATTTCAATTAAAAAGAATGATTAAAAAAAAAAAAAGGAAACAGGACCAAACTAGTCAGATACTTCCCATTTTGGCAAAAGTCAGCTGACAAAGAATCTGGCAAACTGGCCTAACAAAGGTATAATCCTCAAGTCTCTCCACAGTCCTGGAAGTAAAAACAGAGACTGAATGGAGGCCAGCCTATCACCCTATGAACTTTCTACTATTAAAAACATAAGATGGGGAAAGAAACTAGAGTACCTGAAACAATTTTGAAAAAGAACAACAAAGTTGAAGGATGCACAGTATCAGACTTCAAGACTATAAATATAAAACTACAATAGTCAAGACACTATGATATTGGAGAAAGGATGAACATACAGATTAATGGAACAGAATGGAGTGCAGAAATAGACCTACATATGTATGGTGAATTGATTTTCAACAAAGGTGCAAAGACAATTCAATGAAATTGAACAATTGCTGCTAGTATAATTGGATATCCATATAGATATGACTTTCAATCCATATATTGCAGCATATACACAGATTAACTCAACTCAAAATGATCACTGACCTAAAAAATACAAGCCTATAAAAACTCTAGAAGATACAGGAAAAAAACCTTTTTGACCTTGGATTAAGCAAAGATTTCACCAAAAGCATAATTTATAAATAAAAATAAGTAAGTTGGATTGCATCAAAATTAAAAACATCTGCTCTTCTAAAGAGATGTTGAGATGTGTATTAACTATATTCCAATAAAAAAAAGAAAAGGAAAACAACCTGATAAAGGAAGACAACCTTTAAAAAGTAAATAAAAGAATATGCATATGTTATTAGAAGATTACAACTTAAAAAAAAAAAAGAGATGTTGACAGAATAAAAGATAAACCATGACTGGAAGACAATATCTGCAAGCCACATGTCTGATAAAAGAATAGTATTCAGAACATACAAAAAATTGTCAAATCACAGTAATAAGAAAAGAACCCTTTTAAAAACTGGTTAAAAAACTAACAATCACTAGACAAAGGAAGACATACAGATGGCAAATAAACACTGTAACAGATGCACAATATCCTTAGTTATTAAGGAAACCCAAATTAAAACTACAACGCAATACCATCACACATATATTAAAATGGCTAAAATCAAACAACTGAAACTTGAAACTCACACAGTATCAGCGAGGATGCAGAAATGACCCAGAAATCTCACTTTAGGTTCCTGACCATGTA